GATAATAGATTTACTTGCTCCGGTGTCTGGAAGCTGCTGAGAGACATATTCGTTGTGCATCAGAGGTACACCCACCGACGTAGTAGCCACCACCACGCTCCAGGTAAAGGGACATAACACCTGCCCCATGTATGCCAAGATTGGTCTTAAAGCCAACCTTAGCCAACCCATCTATAATGGCCCTGCGATTGTGATTAATGCATTTGGAAGTGAGATTCAAATCGTCCGACATACTTGTCTGTGGTCTCAGCAACCATAGGAACTTTACGTTGATGCAGCCGCCTAGCAACTGCCCAAGGTAGCGAGGTATTGTAAGTATCAGCTAGCTCAGTGGGGAAGACGTCATTATAGACAACTAGGCAAGGAAAGTTAAGCCAAGCTACCGACAACGACGGGAACAATTACCGCCTAGCATTGTTGCCAGTGACTTTTTCGAGATCACGAACGTCGACGATCGTTGATACCTAGTATTTCGTGAGATATCAAAATGATATAACTTGAACCAAAGAACACACATTGTGATGTCGACACCGTGGCTACAGAAATCTTGAGCAATGTCATGTGCTGATGAAATATTTAGACCTCGTTCGATACGAAAGATATGACAGACCAACCAGAATTGCAACAGCCGACTACAATTGCTTTTTTACCGATATGATCAGCCGCGGATTTGAACTCTGACGAGTGCACGGTAGACCCTGTAAAGCTTGCCTGCGTCCATGAGCCACGTTTCGATCAGTTCGAGCGTTACATACCTTCCCAGGGATTTCGGGAACTTGCGGGCGACCGCCAAATCCAGTGGCAAAAACGAGGTGCTTGACGGTCAGAACCCTAGTACCTTTACCGCCGCGATCGACTTCGACAGACCAGGTTTTCGTGCTATCGTTCCAAGATGTCTTAGTGATCGTCGAAGCCGTCCAAACGTCGAGCTCAAGGAAACTCGCATATGCTTCCAACCAGTCTGCCAGCTGCAATAGCTGGAATCAGCGAATTTTCATTATGAGGGTAATGTTGTACCTTTGCGGCTGGGGTGTAGACCGGCCAAGTGGGTGGAAATCTGCAAACTGGATTACAAAAGAATCAAAAGGAGGTCTGAAAAACCACTCACTTCAGGTAAGGCGTTTGGCTGTGCCCTGTAAGTTTGTTAGTCAATCCCTTTCCGTAGAAGCAAAGGCACGAACAGATCGTAGTATGCAGGCAAAGAGCCTTGTAACGATCTCTCCACTATGAAACCGCCCTCGAGCCTTTAGCTATATTTGAATACCAAAATTATCACGGGACGAACGCTATCCCCAACCCGAGGCTTCTTATCAATGACAAGCGTCGGTACACCAATGTACTTTAAGCCTGCCGCGGTCTCCAGACCACTGTGGCCCGCGCCGATGACAATCACCGTTGGGTCATTGTTTGAGAACTCAGTCTCTTGGCGCCGCTTCTCTTCCCAACTGCCATGATCAGTCTCCCAGTTTCTGAGGGGACCGAGCTTCCACAGAGTCCGAGTCAGTAAGTGCTCTCGAGGGAATGTGATTGCACACCTTTTGAGGGAAATTGGTCAACGAATCAAGACAGGTCAACAGAGTGTACGCCTTCCACTTTGAATCTGGAAGGGGAACGAGATAAACGACTGCAGTACCCTTGCCATGCTTGGTGGTAAAACCAAAGCAAAACCGCAACCAGACTAAATCATGATAAACTTTTTGCAGAACAGGTTCATTCAAGGGCTCCTGTAGGAGACGCAGTTCATCAAGTCCCGTAGCAACGAGACGAGCATCTAAGAGTTTCTTGATGTCCTCCCTTCCTTCGAATGTCCTGAAATCCCACGTCAGTGCGATGACGTCCTTCCAGAAGCCATCCTCGAGAAAGAGGTCGACGACAGCTGCGGTATCACTTTGAGTGATTGCAGCTGAGAAAGCGTTGAGCCACTCGGTGGCTACCTCGGATGAAGAGACATTGGAAGGATCAGTGACCCCAAGCCGATCCAGCGTAGGTAAGCGTTGGGGAAACGAGTCAGTCGCCATACTGAAACAGAAAGCTGATATGTGCGGATGAGAGTCTGAGATTTAGAGTGGCACCATGAACCCGCCTGGTTTTTAATTTTAATTGAATCTGCGAGACCAGGCTAGAATGGAAAGCCGGAGCGTTTTTGCTCACGTGCATTGCCTGATAAAGCAAAGAGCTTCGAGAGGACCTGACACGCCTCCGAACAGTATGGAAACCGTACTCTACTTCAACGCTTGAACCTTCCTAGTAAGGTAAGTAGCCTCCGAACACCCTGTGCGGCTATGTCATGAATGACATACCTTGCAGAAATCATGTATATACTTCCATTTTTCCGCTGATGCAAGTCGATCGCGTCCGCGACAGACATACTTCCTAAGGATCCCGAACCTGCGAGTCCAACTTAGTCCTCCTTGAGAAATCGCTAATACCGTGCGACACGTAATGCATTCTTGATTATTAAAGTTGTCGTGAAATCCTGCTGATAAATTTGATTAGCACTGCCAGTGGTCGGGGTTACTTGACCCAAGATCATTCCAGAATCATTTGCATCTTACTAGTAGCACGATGTCCTGGTTACTCAAGGCTCGGAGGAACGACGGTATCACCGCAGGTCTCATGATGGCTGCGTGAGTTGATGCGTCAAGGGCTGCCCGTATCGGTAGAACCATAGATAGCAGAAAGAAGTTATGAGCGTTGAACTGCCTTTGGCATGCATCATGAGGTTTTCTGGTGAACTTACTACTTTAGTGGTGGCGTTGGGGACTGTGATCTCCATCATCCTGTACCTGAAGGGTACAACATTCAAGTTCAATAGTCTCTTTATGTAAATATAGAATGTGCAGTTGTCGTATTAGAACATAAACTCGCGGAATCGATGGTCGTGGATATAGCTCGGGCGCTTTGTGAACTCCGAATTTTGAAACACTATACTTATTATTTACCTCAATAATTACATAATTTGTACGTATTCTCAGGCTTTATTACGGATTAGTCGGTCAGGTATACTTATGCGGCATGGCCACAGTACTGCTCTCCAAACTACCCTTGCTATCATGATCAATTCAAGTCGAAACAGCTCTCCCATTCATGTTTCTTGGCTTAAGCTCCAGGCCAATCCCGCAAATGATAGTTATTTAACGTAAGCAAACCACTGGCAGTACAGTAGACCATGTACAATGAATGAGGTTGTCCACATTTGCAATTCCCTGAATTAACTCATGTAGGGTCTGGACTCTGAAAATTTGCAGCTTTCCTCACATAGTTAACGCCCATAGTAGTAGGAGGGGGGATTCAAGACCATGGGTGCCAGCACGACATCACGAGTAGAACGACACACCTATCGCTTTCATCCAGAGAAGGAGCGAACCGCTGTTCCCACTAGAACTGGGTTTCAAACATTTTGTGTTTAAGTAGCTGGAAATATAAATTTTGTGAAAATGTCGACTTCTATGAGGTGCTGATTGCACAGGAAGGGATCCAATCAACAGCTAATTTTCCTCCCGGAGGCTTCGTGCACGAAAATAAAATATCCACCAGCGATCAGGTACGAATGGATTTGAAGATCTAAATGATGTCAGACATTTGCAAAAGTCATTGCAATGAGTCATTATTTACATGTCATTTCAATGCGCCCTGAAATCATTAGGTAATGCTACATGCTGAGTTTCAATCTATTACAAGCTGATTGATATGACGTCTTAATCCATTATCGATACCCATCAGTGCGTTTTTCGCTTTCACCAACCCTTCATCAAGTCTTCGTCAATGAAATGGCCCCCGATCGTACCAGGCTCTGTGAACTATGCTCCCAGGACATCAAACCCCGAGGATGGACCACTCACCAGAAGGCATGTGAGGTGATAGTGGAAAAGAGACGTTGAGATCAGCTTATTGTAGATGCTATTAGGCAGGAGAAGGGTACTGTTATGCACTCAAATAGATCTGTTAGGCGGAGCCCTAAGAGGGGCGTCGTCCGCTAACGTTCGTGACGTAACCGGAAGGATCCGGTATAGCAAGTGATACTGGCGACGACGAGTCGGCAGTGATCACAGTACGCGCGTGTCACGTGACTTCTGAGACGGATGTCTTAGAAGTCGCTCAAGGTAAGGACAGTCTTGTCCGAACGATGAGGTCGATCGAGGTAGACTTAGTCGCGATGAGCAACTAAGAAAAGATACTAGAGACTGAAGCCAAAGGGGCGTTCAGAGGGAAGTATGTTCCAGGGAAGATTGAGTAGATTCAAGTTAGAGAATCTAGTACAGGGTGACCGACTACTTATACTAAGTGGAGAGGGTTAAGGGCAAGGCTACCGCACAGTAGGTAAGGGTAAAGGGGAAACGAGAATGGTATAGGTGCATTGGCAACATAGCCGGATTAGTGATGGGTGGTCGAATGTGGAATGAGACCGAGAAACGTTGGAACGGACCAACGGTAAGAATACAACGTGCGGGAATCCGCAGTCAGGGGAAACAGAAAGAGGAAAGCCACATTGGTGGCACGAGTCAGACCGAGTCATAGGTGCGGGACCACATTGGTGGTCGAATCAGGGGAGGAACATGCGTGCACGTGCATAGAGGCGGGCGATGCGAGGAACGGGAATGGTCCCGAGGATCCGGTCAACGGAAAGTCGGTAAAGGAGGACGAGCCGATAGATGGTGAGGGCAAGGATGAAGGGAAAATGATAGGGGGGCCACGTGACTGATGTTACTTGTAACAGGTACATCAACCTTGTGTTACAATGTTGACGCTGAAGATCTGTTATCCAGCAACAAATTCAGCACTCGGTTCTGAGTTAGATGGACGGCGTCTAAATCAGAATCAGCTGCCAATACCTGGACCAAGCGAAAGGACCATCAACGTTGACCACCACGTTGACTTCGCACATGATGTTGGTGAGTCAATATCATAACTTGAATCATCAATACTATTGACATTGAAATTATATAGACTATCCAGTACATGAGCCCGAACCTGCGTGCACATTTTCACATGATGATATCATGATGGAGCATCACCCGAGTAGCAATATTGAAGCAGAAGTATATGCGTTTAATGATTTCAAACGTCGTCCTGCAGTCCCTTTGGAACCCCCTTCTAATACCGAGCCTTGGTGTCCATTCCATTCCTGACTTGAGTTCAAAGTCGCTGAACTTGCCCTTGAGGTGGGTTTAAATAACGAACAAACCAACTGACTTATCAAAATATGTCATCATTGCGCCGTTGGGAAGGAAAATTTCACATTCAAGAACCACAAAGACATCCATGTCAGGTGGGAAGCGGCTTCGTTTCGCATTACTAAGGTGGTATCTCATTCTGTCTTCAAAATTCAGACTCTGATCATTTTCAAAGCACAGTTTACCAAGGAAGTCATTTTGGTCCCGTATGATGGCAAAACGTGGAACTTCGACCTACATTACAGGGATCTCTGGGGATTAGCTAGTGACGTACTTGGGGACCCTCACATTTTTCCACATTTCATGTTTGACGCGCAACACTTATCTAAGTTTGATGGGGAGACTTTTGTTCGCTTTGTCAACAAACCATACACTGCGCAGGATTTCTGGGATGTACAAGTATGTATTAACGCTGTTTGTTAGTCTCTTGTTGTTAGAATAACATCATGTTGTGCTTTTGTAGTCACAACTACCGCCAGACAGGAAGCCCTTAACCTTCATACTATATGCTGACAAAATGAGACTATTGTCATTTGGGACTGTGAAGGGCTATCCTGTGGTTGCACGTTTAGCAAATCTGCCCACTGGTATTCGAAATGGACGAGGCACCGGTAGCGGCTATGTGGTAGGATGGCTACTAATTGTAGGAATTAACATTTTCTCTCATCGTTGTCAGACTGACAGTGTACAAATAGGTAAAGGAAGATAAGGACTATGCTGGAAAGCCCAGCTGGGTAAACTTCAAAAACGCAGTCTGGCACGAGTCATTTCGAAGAATCACATTGTCGTTAGCATCGAAATCGAGGGTGGGACAATGGTTCGCTTGCATGGATGGCGTTGAACGCTGGTTTTTCCTTATTGTGCTTATTTTGTCTGCTGATTATGAGGAGCAGTGAGTACTGACTGTATCCCTGATTTTCGCTAACAATGATCTACAGGTGCGTGATGTCGCTAACATAAGGAGTCATGAGCCTATGGCCATGTCCCATATGTCTTGTCCCTCAACATGCGCTCAGCGATACCTCAAAGACGTACACGCGCCGGACTGCGGATGATTCACATGCTGCGGTAACAACTGCACAAGCAAAAGATACCATAGAAGAGCAAGAGGAGGTTCTGAAAGTCCTAGGACTACGTAACATCGAGGTGTGATCTCATTTCTGCTTGAAACACGCTAAAATTTACTATTGTTAGAATGCACTATGGGCCATACAATACTCGGACGTCCATAGGGTGTTGTTGCATGACCGATGCCACTTTAATCATGGCGGGCTTTGGTCACGTCACTATTGGGTTGAACTGCAGAAATACATAGCAAGACTCGGACGAGCAAAAGTATCGCAAGTTGATAAGGCGTGCGTCTGTTTTTTTGGCTATGTAATGTGTTATTTCTATCTGATTTAAATCATTGTTTATATTAGATATCAAGCATTCCCTCACTGGCGGGATCTATGGCACCTGAACCAAGTGATGAATGTTTTGTTTGTGGACAGTGCCATGCACGAAGATATTTCAAAGGTTCGTTGTGACTTCAATATGTTTGTCCGGTAAATTCAATGTATTTGCAGATGATCATCTACGCTACGCATAACATCCTGACGGAGGACGAATCACCACTTGGATACCTTTTGCTCCAATGCGTGCGACTTTACCTTGAGGCCGATATATACACTGCATTTGAAGTTCACACAACTGCAACAATCAGCGAAGGGAGAAATGCTGTCCAGGCCCTGATGGCACTTATGAAGGTGCATTCAATTTTTCTAGCAACTATGTGTTAGATATATGTAGACTAACGTCGTAGTAGCAATATATCATTAAAACTGAGGATGACAACGAATCAGACAAGGATTGGAATTTTCCGAAGCTGCACATGTTGACGCACTTATTCGACGACATCGAGGCCAAAGGAGCTTCAAGGAATTACAATATGAAGCCAAACGAGCAGATGCATGGACCGTTGAAGGACTGGTACCAGGAATGAACTAACTTCAAAGATTTTGCAGAACAGGTGAGGCAGCTACCTATCATTAAAGTCTTACTTTTCCTGACTGGTCCTATACTACAATCATAGATCCTTCAAATAGATCACTGGTTTCATGTTGCAGACGATATTTGTTGTTGTCTCTTGGACTTAGATGACCATCTAATGTTCACATCACAAGGCCAAGCAAATGATGATGATGACAAAGATGAAGATTCAGATGCTCAGCGCCCTGCAAGTGACTTCCTCCCTGGTTTGAATGTCGATGGGTCTCTGCATGTGAAACTCGGTTCCAGCCAGGCTCCACAGATGTTTGCTCTCATTGAGGATACTCACCGGAACGATGACACATTCACCAACTTCTGTGTCAGGCTCAACTCATTTCTAAACGACTTTCTCCCTGCCTGCAACATACGCCTTCCAGATGGAAAGAGAATTCACCTCAAATCAGATGTTGCAGTAAGTTTTCATTTTATTAGCTTATTACCATGCTGATTATGATGCAAATGAGGTTACTGCACATCAATTTCTGCGAGTGAACTTCGAGTCCCTCATAGATTGGTGGCAACACACGGACTACTTGCGGTGCAACCCATGCTTCTATAATGCACCCCGCTTCGATTGTGTCTTCATTCAGACCCATGCGAATGTCATCATTGGACGTCTGCTCTTCCTTTTTGATTGCCCAGTTGGAGAGGATCTGTTTCCGCTTGCTCTTGTCCATCCATTCGATGCTTGCACAGGTACGCGACTTTGAAAGGACGGACAGCTCAATCTTTTCAGGGTTCGAGCAAAACCACGAGCACAAGCCGAATTTTTCTCGGTCAGGTTGATCATTCGCGGGGCACTTCTAGTGCATGATGCCGGCCTCGATTACCTTGTCGTTGACACGGTTGATACCGACATGTTCCTCCGGGTGAAGGAAATGCATTTGCAGGCTGGACATGTAGTTCGCATTTGATTGGTGAGTACTAATAATATGACATATCTTCAACGAGTCTGATTTGACAGCTAGCAGGCCGAGTCATTACATCATGCTAACTCATCCCTGTGAACACCCTTAGACTCATCTCCATCTACTTCTCATCTACAACCTCCAAACCTCTAAACCGCCACCCATTCCCTCCCACAGCAACATCTCCACACAAGGCTCACCTCGCACTCGTGTTCTCATATCTCTGGATTGACGTCCAGTGTTACGACTGGGATAGGTCGAGCTGTCTGAGTCTGAATGGACTGTCTGCTTATAAGCAAGACGGACATGGGTCTTCTCTCGAGTGAGAGGTCAAAGGTTTCTAAGGCTGAGGCGAGTGTAGACGACTCCCTCAGAATAGTGGTTCTTAGATAGCAAGGTTGGAGACCTTGCTAAAGGACTAGTTTCCAGGTAAAACCCAGTAGATTAAAGTGCAGAATACAATCGGTACACTATGTGTCTATATAGCGAGTGTTCAAGCGGAGCTTGTAAATGGCGTATCAAGATAGAAGGCGGACAGCCCGCTTGATAAGAGATAAGAGATAGCAAACTTAGTACGGACAGCCCGTTTGATGAGAGATAAGGTCATACATGGTGATGGTTACTGGTACGGAAGGTGAGCTTGGCGATGATGTGCGTAAGGGTTTGGAATGTGATCGGATGTTCAGTAATAGATGTGACAAGGGACCACTGTCCGGTAACGAAGGAAAAGTTAGGGGAATAAGTATACCGTAACATCCAGTGGCAATATCAGACCCAGAAGACTCCTCACGGCGCCTCAAGATATCTACATCACCGCACCCCCACCATCACATAAAGCAGACCCAGCAAGTTAAACTAGTTCATCCCTACCGCACAACCCCACCACTTTCCATTCGACCCGCCAGCAAACCGTCAATTGTTCAACCACAGGAAGGATGATCCTGTAAGGTTCACAGTCTTGGTTCTAGCCCATCCATCATCAACTGGTGGCCAGCCTACACCTACACCTAAATCATCAGGAGATCATGTGCGTTCTCGACTTCCTCATATGCTCATTCATTGACATTGAGCTTCACCCTTTCTTCCGGAATGGCAGACAACTCGTCTGCATCGTCCGCATTATTTGATAGCAATCTGGCCTCACGAGGTTAGCGACGAAGACCTCCAGCAACAAAAATGGACAAAGCTGATCTCAGACCATAAACAGTAAGTGATTCTCCAGCAAGATGATGCATAATCTGATGGAGATCTCCCTCGCATCAAGTGTTCCGGCATCCCTCTGGATAATCCCAAGCAATACCATCATACACTGTGCTCTGGACACACACATTCCACAAACTCCTGGAGGTCTTGAGGTGTGCCTCATTTTCCTCGCCCCTCACTCTTGAACACCTCCAAGACTTTATATATTACGCCTACACCTTCTATACCGGCCTTCTTGAGGAGCCAACTCTGCATTCATTCCAATCTGGCTGGCTCGAGGCTCTAGGCGATCTTGCACACTATTGCATGGCTGTGGCGCATTTATCATTGATAATAGTTGGACACAGTATGTATTGTACTAGTATAAATATGTCTTTATTAACACTGGTTGTGTGTATCAGGGTTTGATCATGACTGCGGACACGTAAAGCTGCTGGAGGTGTTATTACGTCGGACATCAGGGTAGGCATCACAAGCATCATTTAAAGTGCCACGGGCGACTAACAATCTTGTGTCGTCGTGTTACCCTCCAACAGAATCATCATTCAAACTCTTCTGAAGACATGTTGCACGTTACTATGAGTACTATGCACCCGAGCTCAGACATGGAAAGTGACTTCGGTGTTCTGGGTGGTGATCCAGAACATATTTCTATACCTGGCCCCAGTGCGTCTAAAGGGGAACTCTTGGAGGTAAGAAATCTTCAATCCGTCCAAGTATTTACTGACCCAATTTGCTTCAGACTCTCAAAGCGCTGCAAGTCCAAATGCAGCGGCTTCAAGCAGAGAACAAGAGTATCAAAGAGGAGAATAAGATGCTGCACGCTGACAAGCCCAAACGGAAGCGATGTGCCAATACACAGCATGAGTTTAGCGTCCACAAGGACACCATTACCATATATGCCCGCAAGTATGGCATGATGGTTGAAATGTTTCCTAGCAGTGAACTCCTCAACAAGAAACGTCCAGCATCTCCGACTGCTTTTGATAGCTCCAAATGATATGTGACTGCAGCCACGGAGGAATCTGCATTCTTAGACGAACTTTATCGTCACTTCCCTGAATCGCTCCACAAAGTCATGGAAAGCTCTTACTTTAGTGATCTGGTATGTCGAGTTTTCACATGTTCACTTGCTATATCACTGACACAATAACATTCTTATTGTAGGTACTGAAAAGTATTCCCGATGCCTGTGCTAACGAAATCAAAAAGCTTTGTGGCATCGCTGGTGATATCTTTGGCCTTCCTGCAAAATATTTCACCAATCCTCAATACGACAGAGTGTCTGTCCCCGAAATCCGACAGCTACTTGGTGTTACGTCCACTTCAAATGTGGTCTACAAAACTTTTCCCCCAGTGTTATTTCCAAAGTTGATAGAAGACAAGTCGCTTAAGACCGTGTTTGGAAATTGGGAGCTATTGGCTCAAGTGCGTCTATTACTACTGTTAAGGTGTTGATTATCTGACATTTTTTGGTGATGGCACTACTATCTAGATTTTGAAAGCTTCGTTGTGTGGAGTTGCCTCACTCTATCAAGAGTCAAGTGGTGGCGGCGCCCATACTAACTCTCTCAAATGGAGTGTCCACCAAATCACGCCAGGGTCAATAGCGTGGGCGGCAGTCATCATAAGGCAACATTTTATTAATTACATGTTTTTCGAGTCCTCTGAGATGTATCATTGCAGGTAATCTTTTTACTGTCACCGGACACTGAATTTTCAAGCAGTGGCACTGGGAAGAAATCCAACATCTGTTACTGGAATCTGTTCCACCTCTACAAGAAAGTCCTTGTAACTAAGTGGGCTACGAAGCGCATTGCTACCATTGTCACCAGCATCAATCATTACATTTTCAAGGCCGCAAAAGCTTCAGCCTTCAATTCTGCCGAACAAGATGATCACGCAGATGCAATCAATCGCGCACTTGCAGTGCTCGATATGGACAGTGATTCTGAATCAGATGCCGAGTTGAACAATTCTGTCGAGGACCCCAAGGCTATTCATAATATTGGTCAGAGTCTATCAGCCCTTACTGAACCTGATGCTACCACCAGTACCAAAGCAGGAGATTCAGAGCTCCAGGATTCACATGTTTCTGACCCGGATATTTTAGGAGGTGAAAATATACAGGATGTTGAAGGGTCAATCAGCAACAGTGGACGAGGGCAGGGAAAAACGAAAAGGAGGAAGGCAGCAGCTTCTGGAGGCACAGTTCGTCGAGGACGGTCTCACAAATAGTCACAGTAATATTTCTTTACATTGTCACTACATACTCTGGTCACATTGACGGCGGTCCTATGTTTGCAATGGATATCAAATATTATTAATGCTCACTGGCAATCTTTGAATCAAAATTAATACATTAAAATAATTCAATCAGAGTTTAAATGCAAATGTTCAGACTTTACGACTAAATTTCAACTGCGCTCTGTCTCTCTTTCTTAATCTCTCCTGATGCTTAAATGGTCATTTTGACAGTCCTTCAATAGACATTTGCACTTCCAGTCAGCCATTTTGTCAATGGAATCAAGGTAAGCACCCTGCACCCTGTCTTTTATCAACCATTGTTTTTCATGGACACCATATTATTACAGGATTTGGCCAAGACCTGGACCGTCGATGTTCAAATTTTCCTTCAACTCAAATGAACCCAGTGACCACATTGTCAATGTGTCCTCCGCAACACTTTCGGCTCTGAATCTATTTCGCATGTCATTGTGTTGGCACCGCTCATCCCTGTTTGCAGAATCTGTCCCATCAGTCCAGGTGTGTTTTAAATTCTGTTGTCTTAATCATTACCAACACTGACTGGTTACTACTAGCCGATCCAACGTCTCTCCGCCCAATCAGCGACTCGTTACAGTGCGCTGGGTGTTCCGAATGGACTTCGCACAATGTTCAACTAGTTTTCGGTCTCATTCTCGTGGTATATAGAATTTCTACTAGGGTATTACTGTAACTATTAGTAATTGTAAAATGTATAGTAATTTAATTATACGCCCAATGAAATGAATAATACCTGCCTCACAATAAATTTTCAAAGATTGCATCCTCATTTCAAAGCTGTGTGTATACATCAAAATTTACTTCGCAATGTCATTGCAAAGACCATTGCAATGACAGTGGTGGCTATTGAGCACGTGATGTAATGATGATGACAATGACTCGCTCCGATTGCAACCGTCATTTAAATGACGACTCTATTATAGCAAGCTATTTAAATACTCGTTCTGCATTTGGGCATTGAAGCCCATTGTCGGGCCTTGAAATACGAATTAGGAAGTTCTGACAGATTTTGTGTGAGCATCAAATGGTGAGACCATTTTCCAAACTACCATGCACGTGGGCTCAAGTTATTCCACGTGCCACACTGCCCTCTTGAGTGGCGAGCATCATTGCATCAAAACTCCCGATACCCAAGCAACACAATGCAGAATGCTTGGCGAAGATTTTTACTTTCCGCAGTGAACGCAGAGATAAATGCTGTTGCTTGTGGCGAATGAGTCATCAGCAAAACTTTATACGTCCCCGGGAATTTGAACCCCAAAAGCTGGAGCACCATAATTACATGGAACTTGCTGTTAGCTACCATCAGTAATAGCGCCACTGCATATGCCCATGTACTAATCTAGTCGACTCCACTCATCTGCTGTGCATGCAGTCGCCATAGCCCATCAGTGCATCCACAAGATGAAATGCAACTAATTAAAACACATCTAGGAATGATTTTGACGGATAATGCTCCGCAGACGGCTGTTCGTTATGTTTATATGCACCCATGAGCTGGTATTTAAACGGTGTAACTCGCAATCTTTCTTTAAAACAACGCACCCTAAACACTATACCTTAGCAAAGAACATAATTGACATGATCATGCTTAACATCAGCAAACTCAGTTTCTATCTTCTACTCCTGTCAGTTGCCATCGCACAGATCCTAATGGTCAGTGCTGCAGAGGACAACTACCTGAATTCTGATGATGTGGATGAATTATGTGGGTGGGTCCCGACGATTATGTGGAGCACGACTGACGTACTTCTAGCGGACGGGCTTCAAGCGAGAGCGAGCGGTATGCCTTATTAAAACCTAAACACAGCTGGAGGGTTAGAAGTTGGCGCAAAGAAGGACAAATCGGTACATGGGCACATTGCAGTAGCAGAAGACAGCTTCGAAAGACAACTAGAAAATGTACACCGCCTGAGATAAAAATTAGATGAGCTCACGTAGGATTTCCATTGCAGACTAGACCTCGAATTTTGCGAGTCACCGTAGAGATTCGGGGACAGACCAGGGCAACAATACTTGTATCATAGATAAAACCCTTCAAGTGCAGGAGGAATTCTCCGGTCGGGATAGTGAAGGTGCCATAAGTCTGCAAGGATGATCGCCAGTTTTTTCTCGTTTCAAACTTCAACAACTCGCGCTCCATGCCACGCTACGTGGGGCGACTGGTGAGTTGGAATGAGTTAGTGTATATTCAATATCAGGTAATGTGCAAACTACGTTTTAGGTAGGATGCGTTGTGTACGAAGGGGTCATAGTCAGATAGGCATGGACGACCTCAGCGTCCCCAACTTTGAATGTCCCTCAAGGGTTAATCATTCAAGACTACGTCAGTCAGCAACCACTTGAAAGTATCTCGTCTGGTCCTCCGAGAATGGCATATAGCGCTGGGAGAACTGCGCCCACTTGACCGTGACATGCTGGATTCTGTGGAAGAAAGGATTATCGTGGATGTCATGCCCTTCGTCGTGACAGAGTTGGTGAGGAGATTAGGAGTTGTAATTGTGTGAATCTGATCCAGACACACCCATAATTTCAGCGTTCCTATAATGGTGAACTCTGACGGTCCAATCCTGGTAACCATGATTAGTACATATCAAAAAGGTACGTCGAGACATCACCTACATCATATGATACACGCTAGGATATTGCATCATGGCTGCAAAAGACATCTCCATCACCTTTGGCCAGGGTTCTTACAAACGCCCTTTTCATAGAAGATCCCGAGCTATCTGTTGTCCCCTCTTTCTCGTGCCCCTCGATTGTCTCCCTCATATCCGCCGGCAGCGCCTTCAGCAGCTGACCAGTACTTTGTTCCCACAGTGCCATGGACATGGCTTCACCGGTAAGGACAAGGTGTGTTTGAGGCTCACAGGATGTTTGTGGCTTGCGTGGTGTGCTCCTAGTAAGATCGCCCCCAGGAGTGACGCAGAAGAGTTCATTCCGCACGCCAAGGTGGGCAACATGGTTGTCCAGCCTGAGCTCATATACCCGAGGCGAGATCCTCGACGGTTTTATACCAATTCTGGTATGTGTCGTCTCCAACTTTTAAATATACTTTGCCTGTAGCTTCGGCCGTACTGTGCGCGTCGGGGAAGCGAAGTGACAACCAACTGAGACTTGACACACGATAAAGGCTGATGCATTTGGAATTGACAATGTTAGGACCAAGTTGGAACGTTCCGAAAACTTGAAGTATCTTGCGGTTGTGTCAATGATGTGCCGCTCAGAGGCCAAGATGAAATGGCAGTGTTTTGATGGTTGCAAACTTGTTTCCCACCTTGTTACTGGAAGCCATTGAAATTCTACTTCGGATCCAGGGCACTAATCACCCTCTTGCAATTGAGCATCGATCCCGTGCTATGAGGTAAGTTCCTCGCGAAATTTCAATGACGAGGCCTCATTAATCACTTCCAAACTTGAGTCTAGATGGGAGTCCTGAACTCGAAATTCAGGACGAACTGTCATATATTCCTGGACCGTGTTCGACAGTTCTATAATCGGTCAATTGCGAATTTGAAATTGCACCTGTCTGATCTCGTCCACATGGTATCAAGTTCATCGCATGCACTTAAGCAGCCCAACGACGATACCTTTTGGTATTATTTAACGAGGTGCTAACGTCATGATCGTGACTCGCTTTAACCCACCCCAAATCATTGCTTCTCCAGAAGAACCCATCAAGTTATTCTGTTCATCATCTGATCTATCATGTCACTCAACTCTAGTTGGACACCGGACGAATCGTCTGAAACGCTTCTCGCAGAGGAAGGCTGGTTGCAGGGCACAGTGGTCAGCGCCGTTGCATATGGCATTGGCGTCGCACTGTTCTTCATGTGCTTCCACCTCCTTTTCCGGCAGATGAACCGCACGAACTACAAGAAACTCCTACCTTTCCTCATATACATCACCACAACTTTTATCCTCAGCACCCTATTTATGGCAGCGCTGGCCGACTTCACGCAACTCGCATTCATTCAATATCGTAATTATCCAGGTGGTCCGAGCGCATTCGAGAATGTCAGCATTCCTATGGACAATATTACGGACGTCTGTGGTGTTCTGACGATGATTCTTTCAGATGGATTGGTCGTGAGTGGAGGTATTCGATGTTGAAAATGTTATCGCTGATATGTCTGTTCAGGTTTGGCGCTGCATGGTAATTTACAGAGGGTGTATGGTGCCAATGTGGATCATCATGTTCTTCCCTTGTCTGATGTTTGCTGCATCCATCGGTCAGTTGCTTCTTCTCAATATCTATGTGATTGTATCGGACGCTCACTATTACATCTGTTAGCTATGGCTATAATGTGGCTGCTTCAAGTAACCGCCAGTGTTCCATATTTTTCCTCGACTGACATCAACTACTCCATTCCATATTTCACCCTCTCACTCGCACTGAACATCATCATCACGATCGTAATCGTACTTCGTCTACTCACATATCGTCATCGCATTTCCAAAGTTCTTGGCTCTAGCTACGGCACTCAATACACGTCGATTGCTGCGATGATCGTTGAATCCGCCGCTATTTACTCCGCGTTTTCGGTGGCACTTCTGACGCTCATTGGTCTAAACAATGTCATCTCGGAGACCTTTCTGGTGTCGCTGACTCAGGTTCAGGTTAGCACTGTCAAACAGAGAGGTATTCACGCTGCTTATGACATGCCACAGATAATTGCAATGTTGCTCATAGTTTTCCGAGTCGCGCAAGGAAAGGGTTGGTCTCAGGACACCATGTCCAAGGTCATGACCTCGAGGCCCTCAGCGCAAACAACCCGTATGGGTGATTTCGGGTACAATATGCAGGACGGCTCCAAAACGTTTACCGGTTCCACTGGCACGGGGGTACATACGACCCGCAAGAGTAAGGACCGCGATTCAGCGGAATTGAGTGTTTGAGCGAAGGTCGCTTAGTAGATACTGAAATATTAGTTGTTGAATATCCCGAGTCGAAGTAAATACATGACACAAATTTAGTATTTAGTATACTTGACGGTGGTACGGACCTTAGGCAGGATTCGATTCGATTGTTTGTACTCCATGATTACTTTGAAAATAATACATTCAGCCAAACCTTGCATTGGCGTATTCAACAGTGAAAATACATCAATATTGATCGCATAGAAGATGCGCATCAAGTGTGCGACTATCACTGGTAAGGGTATACCGGTAAGGGCCGGCTTCCGAGTCACGGAGCTGATGCGCTCAAACTAGTAATCATTCCGCAGATAAGCAATGCAACTGATGGACTGCCTTTCAGCTTCACCATCACCATCAGCTGCTAACCTTTGCCTCTAGCTATAACGAAGTTAACGTTATTACAGCTATACATATATCATCGATCATCTCCGAGCCACGCAGTGAGTATCTAAAGCAACCTCAGATGAACTGGCCGCATTCTACGTCATAGTATGGTGCATTCTGATTGATTGATCTGGGAATCCTGTAGTATCATTATAGACTCTACACCACTACTAGTAAGTAGTAAGTTCATCAGAAGACCTCGTGGTGCATCCTAAATTTAGCAGCACATAACTTCTCCTGTTATGTATGGCTCTACTGCTACGGCCTGCCGGGGAAGCCCTGGGCGCATCAGTTCATGCGGCCACCATGACATTTGCGGCGATACAATCATTCCTTGAATTTCCTCCGAGCCTTGAGGATATCAGGCACTCCAAGTGATCCGAGATCTCCCAGTCGTCGTTGCGTTGTAGTTCCGTGACGATTATCTAGTGTAGGGGACAACCCTCACCGGCACATGAGCGTCACATTGCATGAGACTTTTGCAGACATTGCAATGTCACACTGCAATGTGACGCGACATGTTCTGAGTCCTGACGGGTGCATTCGAGTTGCACAAAAGACACAGCATAATTTGACATATGAGTATAGCCCAGAGGCAGATTATACATGGCTGCTGCTTACCATCACTCTTTCATAGGCCAGGGTTAACCCATACTACTCGAGTCTCAGTCTGCAAGCAAGGGAACTTTATGTTGAAAGTGTGACACGAATTTCAACAGGTACGCACAACATTCAAGTTCAAAATCGTAGTCTCTTCAGATATATAATGTGGAGCTGTCCGATGTCGTATTAGAGCATAATGATAGTCATGGCTTGAGCTCCACCAAATTTGTACGTAAGTGCTGCTAATCGGATCAGGCATGGCCACTACCGTGATACTCTTCAAATTACCCTTGCTATCATGATCAATGCCGTTCTCCCCGTCATGTTTTTTTCATCACGCTCCAGGCCGCTGAATCAGACAAGAAAATTTTCTTATGCGATGGATGACATTCTTGTTTTCGAGTTAGGTTGGAGGACGAACCAAGCGGTAGCTGCGATATAGAATGGTGGCAGGCTCACAAGGAGATTGAACCAGGTCGGTGCTTTACCGCTCTATGAAATCCGCTGACAGCATAATTGAACCTCTAACTGTTTACATGATCCAGCGCTCCACTGTGTAACTTTACTTTCCTCGGATTCGTGTCATCGAGACGAAACATTTGGTTTATTCAACAGGTCAAGGCACCTAGTTACAATTTTACGCAATCCTACTTGCCATCAACCATCTTACTCGTGTACTTGCGAATGTGGACCCATGAGTCAGACCACTTCCAGAGTGAGTCTGTGCAGTATTGAAACTTCGTCACGGACTCACGGCACATAACGGCAGCTGAAATTTTTGCTACTTCATGCATCATAGTCGTTCAACCTCAGAATGAGCATGAGATACAAAATGAAATCTATTTCAAACATTGTGTCCAAGTACGAATTTTGTGAAAGTGCTAAGTACGTGACCATGGAGTGCTGATTGCACAGGAAGGGTTCCATGTCAACAGCTGATTTGCCTGCGGCGTAGCGCACATAAACGAGTCATCTGCCAACGATCAGGTACAACCAGATTTGAAGATCTAAACGATTCCATGTGAACATCAAATGGTGAGGCTATTTTCCAAACTACTGACATGAGCACTATGCACCCAGCTATTCCGCATCGCCTTCTTGATCCGCGAGTATCATTACATCAAAACTCCTGATGCCCAAACAAAACAGTGCAGAATGCTTGATGGTGATCAATATTCTTCGTAGTGGAAACAGAGAGACATGCTGTTGCTTATGGCGATCAAATGTCATATCCGCATAGTTTGAACCTCAAAAGCTGGAGTATCGTAAGTATGTGACTGGACCATTACGAACTCGCCGTGGGCTACCATCAGGTAGTGCACACTGCATATGCTAATATACTGGTCTAGTCGTAGTAAGTCGACTCCAGTCGTCTGCTGTGCATGCAGTCGCCATCAGAGCATTACGACGAGGTGAAGTGCGGTCAATTGAAAATTTGAAATACATCTAGAAATGATTTTTGACCAAATCAGTCAGGCAATGCTCAAGCGCCCAAGGGCGATGGCTGTTTGCTATGATTATATGCACTCATGAACTAGTATTTAGAGGGTGTAACTTCCAATCTCACTTTAAAACAACGCATCCTAAACACTGTGACCATACCTCAGCGAGGAGTATTATTAACATGACCGTACTTAATATCAGTTTCTATGCTCTATTCCTGTCAGTTTCCTTCACACAGATACTAGTGGTCAGTGCTGCACCGCTGGAAGCTTCTGATGATGCGACTACTTCCTTCAAGTTTTGTGGGTGGGTCCCGGCGATTATGTGGAGCAGGACTGACAAGTTTCTAGCGTCGCTCCATCCTTTTTGAAACTTAAATACAGCTGGAGGGTTGAAAGTTGACACAAAGGACTGATCATTATATGGACACGTTGCGGATGACATTGGGGGTAGAAGATGTGTTTGCAAATAATTTTTTGACCAAACCCTAGTTAGTAGTACGGTACTAATAGTAATACTCAAGTGCGATGGCTGTCTGTTATGCTTCCTCATGAACTGGTATTAAACTAGAGGTGTAACTCCTAATCTCACTTTGAAACCACACATCCTAAACACCGCACCTCAGCGAAGAATACCATTAACATGACCGTGCTCAACATCAAAAAACTCAGTTTCTATGTTCTACTCCTATCAGTTGCCTTCGCACAGGTCCTAGTGATCGGTGCTGCAGAGAACAACAACCTGGATTCTGATGATGTCACGGTGGATAGTGTTAGTGAGTGGGTCCCAGCGATTATGTGGAGCAGGATTGACGAGTTTCTAGTCCCGCATCCTTTTTGAAACCCTAAATACAGCTGAAGGGTTGAAGTTGACGCAAAGAAAGACATATCAGTACACGGATACATTGCAGATGACATTGGGGGTAGAAGATGTGTTTGCGCGCACGGGGATTGTGTTACTAATACATCATCTTAAAAACTAAACAATCACACACCCATCATGATCACACTAGCTACGAAACACGTCAGGGTATGTTTGCAAATGACTCGAGGTATAAGTCTAAGGCTTACCGTCATAACCATATGTACTATATGCCTGGGAGGACTACAGGCTAGCTCTGCCGATGCCCATTGAGAATAATCAAGACCAGAAGCTATTCCGAAGGGTTGCATCCCACCTAGGCATTCGTTAGACCAGTTTTTGGTGTTGGTTTGTGTTGGTTTTAGTAAGCGGCACATTGAAAGCTGTACTAATCGCTTACGTAGCTTATGTAAGCTGCCAAAGAAGGGTTACGACCTGATTGCGACCTGAGGCCTGCGCCTTGAAGCATCCGATTGGTTGCAGATGCGGCTTATGGGTGCCGAGATCTACAAAGTTCAATATCGTGTCTATTTGCGCATCATATCTTTGCTTAGATAGTAAATTGACAACATCGCATCGACATACTGCTTATACTAGTACATTGTGAAATAAAATAAACTATCAAAAATCCGTGTGTAATGAACGTTGTCTGAAAAACAGATTTGAAGATCTAAATGATTTTGTGTGGGCATCAAATGGTGCCATTATGGTGGGGCCATTTTCCAAACTACCGCACATGAGGCCTAGGGCTATGCACCCAAGCTATTGCGCACCGCCCTCTTGATCGGCGAGCATTACATTAAAAATCCTAGTACCCAAGAAAAACAGTGCAGAATGCTTGGCGAAGATTAATATCCCCCACAGTGGAAGAGAGATGGGGTTGCTTATGTTTATGGTAATTAAATGCTCCCCAGGGAATCCTCAATAGAACTTGCTGTGGGCTATCGTCAGGTACTGCACGATGCACATTCCAATGTACTGGTATAGTCGTAGTAAGTCCGCTTCAGTCATCTGCTGTGCATGCAGTCGCCATCAGAGCATCCACGAGGTGAAGTTTGACCAATTGAAATACATCTAGAAAGTATTTAGAGGGTGTAACTCCCTATCTCACTTTAAAACAACGCATCAACACCACACCTCAGCGAAGAACATCATTAACATGACCGTGCTCAACATCAAAAAACTCAGTTTCTATGTTCTACTCCTGTCAGTTGCCTTCGCGCAGGGCCTAGTGGTCAGTACTGCAGAGAACAACAACCAGAATTCTGACGATGGGGATGTTATCAGTGAGTGGGCCCCGGCGATTATGTGGAGCAGGATTGACGGGTTTCTAGGGCCGTTCTATCCTTATTGAAACCTAGAGGGTTGGAAGTTGACGCAAAGAATGACATATCAGTATATAGACACGTTATTGATGACATTGGGAGTAGAATATGTCTTCGCACGCACGGGATTGTTTGTTTATACTGGCTTCTCGAGATCTCCCGTTAATTTGTTCATTACCCATATACAGTGATTCTGATGTTTGCATGATATTGCAGGGCTTAATTTTTTGGAGCCAGGCCTGCATGCGCGACAGCATCATGAGAGTGGGGCATGCCTTTGGTCAAAAATGCCGAGTAAGAAGTTGGGGGAATTAAATCTCGCGGTCATCATCGCTGTTGCCTCGAGAGTGCACTGAGAGAATTTCATGAACCAAGGATTAGGTACGAACAATAAGGTGCATCGCGCACGTTCCTCGTCTCGACGATGAAGAAGTGACAGAATACAGCCTCAGAATACAGCCAGAAATTGTACACCAGCTGGAATAAAAATTGAATAAATAAAAACATACCAAAATTTTGAGAAAAGGCTCACGTAGCACTTCCATCGCAAAGTGAGCGTCAAATTTCACAAGCCACCGTAGAGATTCGGGGACAAAACAGATCGACGAGACTTGTATCATGAATGAAGTACAGAACGAATTCTCAGTTATTTCATGACATCAGTGCTCTCCTTCCTCGTGTTGGCTCTTGTGAAGAACATACGGGTGTTCCTGTACCATGGTGTTGAATGGAGCATGTGAGCATGAATTATGAGTGAAAGAGAGCGGGCGACACTGAAATCTCAACATGTTCCGGCCAGAGAACCCGAGCTTCGGTATGTGAACTTGGGTCGCATTCAAGAAGACTAACAGAGATATTCAGCATACGTCCTGTTGGCATCGAATTACAATCCTCGACATTCAGGCCTGGAAGTTCTCCTGATGGAGTACTAAAGTCCCTGAGAGCATATATGTAAGTAGCATAGGAAACAGGGGAGCTCAGTTTATCCACACCTGAGTTTCAAACGTAGCAAGGAGCGTAAATTGTGATTCACGCGGGCTAGAGACTCGAGGTGGCGCAGCATCACTAGGAGCACGAGATAAGCAACGAGCACGCCGCGATGCTACATGATGCTGTCGTACCTCGACTCACACTCGAAGATCTCAAAGCTTCGCGATTTGACCCTGCAGTACCAGCTAAACACATACCAACCAAGAAAAAGAAGGAGGAAGTGTTGATGGAGGCCCTGTTGAGGCAACTCCTGGAGGACATCCAACATTCTCACACTCACAAGTGTTTAACAGCAAGCTTGTCAGAGCTACTAGGGCAATGGTAAGGACAAGTTGTAACTTGAGTCGTGTGGAGAAATCAATGCACATGACTTTCACGTGACCGTGTCTGGACAAAATACAGTACACTAGTGGTCACAAAATCAAACCCATTTCACCAACTGCCACGATGATCAGCTCTCGCCCAATAGGTATAGCGTTTGAGGGCGACCACCGCCATATTACGAAGACTCCAGGCAATAGAATGTCGAAATCACGAGGTGCACTCCAGGAGAATGTTGGCCGCCACGTACCCGTCACAGTCGATGGAAAAGCGAAGAAAGCTGCGTTGCAACAAGCTCCGTTTTACCCAAATACATTGCGTGAGCTTTTTTTCTTCTAAGATCATGTTACCTGCGCTTACAAGGTACTGTAGAACCGCAGAAGATCCTGAAAGGTCATGATGGACCAACCAAATCCAAGGGAAAGGAACCAGTCATACTCGCACCCTCTCGACCTCTGGGCGACAAAACGCCCTTTCCTAACCGCGTTGCCAACCATGCCACACCATTTCAAATGACAAAGCCTATTTTTGATGTCACGCCCGGTGCACTTCTTCGCCCAAGTTCCGCACGAAAACATGTTAGACTTCCCCGCAGCGCCAGCAACAGCTTTCAGACGCCACTCACTGGTGGAAACCACTGGGATGTTAGCGATATAGACATTAATCCAGAGGTCGTAGCGGCGCCCAATCAATCGATTGAAGAAGAAGACTACGATGAAATCGAGTACATGCCTCCGAAGCTATCTGGTGGGTAACCTTGCCAAACGCTTTCTTCTGCTAATGTGTCAACGCGTGTAGAAATGCTATACGAACCTCCATTTGAACTTCCGGATTATAAAGAAGTCGGGAGAACCCTTCTCGCTCTTACCCACTCCTACCCGATCGACGATATACCGACACATGTTACATCCATGGAATTCACGGCAGCTGAACATGACGACAAATTTTTTGCCCCAGGCGATTTATCTCTCCCCCATCTCGGTAAGCTTATGTTACACAACATCTATTCTGATCTTGACTTATGTGCGTACATTCAGATGATGATAGTCCGTTCTCGCAGGCCAATTCTGCACCAAAGCCTGGGCCCGAAGTGACTCGAGTTCCTCCGTCATCGAAGAACACTACTCGCCCAACCCAAGTTACAGCATCGAGAACTATTCGCGCCGCATCCGCAGTAGGTCATTCGACTACGGCTGATACCTCCCGTCCAAGATCTGGCCCACAAACTGTTTCTCGTCCTGCCGTTACGCGTCCAGGTATGACAACTTCCAAGCCAGCGACCCGTGCAACATCGAGTGCCACGGTCGTGAGGGGAAACACATCTAGAACACCCTTAACGCGTGCGCCTTCGACAACTGTATCTCGAGCGCCTTCTACCACCGTGATGACGAGGACGCGTCCCGCAAGTGCATTAGCCACTGGTATCAAACCCCAAGCAGGTCCGGCAAGTGGGAAATTTGGAGCGCAACCGAGGGCAAGTGCACATGTGAAGAGTGGCATGTCGACGAAGAAGACAGTTCAAGAAATCGGGATTGTCTTTGGGGACAGTTTGCAAGAAGAGGAATTTAGGTTTAGCGTATAGGTTTGTGAATTTTTACTTAAATTCTGTATACAATACAAATTAGTTTGCTGTCTGCATGTAAACATGACTCTGGTTGTATGCTAGTTGTATCATGGCCCATCGTCTTGAAGCACACGGGTTGCTTTCCATGATCTAGTCTGTCAAGATTTGACATTCAGAGATCGCACAGTGAAAATATGAGATCAATGACCTTTAGAGCCAAGAAGCGGCTGGCGCATGGATAGATTACAAGATAAGTGAAGAGATGTACTAAAAGGTTTGTCACTACCGCTGTAGTGAGGTATGTGCATGATGCTTCAACGTCGGGTATGGCATGCGATAGAAGGTTTCGTATACTTGATTCAACGTCAGAGAGCGAGATCAGCATCGGTATGAACTTGTGGTGCTACTTATGAAAGAGAAAGAGGGTCAAAATCAGTCAACTCTGCGATGCATTCCGTCAGAAAGTCGAGGTCCCACTCCATCTCCGCGGGTGGCCTGTCGGTGCTTTTGCCTGCCATATGCATCTTGTGCGACATCCACAAAGAGGCTTGGCTAGCAGTAGCTCGAAGCTTTGGATCCTGGTGCCACAAATTCTGGATGAAATCCCACATATCGTCGTCCAATCCTCGTTGAAGGCACACGTTATTCGTAGGACGTGAGGGACGGCTTCCCTTCATGAAATTGGTATCCACTGCCTGTGGGGATAAGTCCCAGAATGGACGTAATCCATCATACATCTGGAAAGAGATCAGTTCATGGTTGAGCATCACGACGGGAAACCATACCTCGTAACATATGCAGCCAAATGCGAAAATATCACATGGGCGTCTATCCAGGGCTGATAACAGACGTGGATTTGCACGTGCCTCCAAAAGTTCAGGTGCCATGAAAGAGGGGGTTCCCGCAACAGAGATTATGTTGGTCTGGAGCTGTGCTTGAGAGTCTTGCGTGGTTGCAAGGCCGAAGTCGGCCAAACACGCACGTCCGGAGGAGGAAACCAGAATGTTGGCCTTATAACAAATCTTCAGTGGCGTTCTCACCGATCAAAGCACCCACATACCCCTTTCAAGTCACCATGCACAATTGTAGGTTGCACCCCATGGAGGTATTCGAGACCTCGCGCGATATCCAATATCTGACCATTTCAGTAAGCATTGGAAGCCAGAATTCTATCACTGACCAGAGGTGCACGATCGGCATCAGTTCGTTGTAAATACGCGTTCAAATGCCCATTCTTCATCCAAGGAGATACCAGACAGGTCTTAGGTGCACCATCATTAAGATGGAATACGCCGTAGAATGGCAGGCAGCAGTCATGCTGGATGTGGCACCAAACGACTGCCTCATTCGAGAAATCCTACAGTCAGTCATGTTATCGAAGTTTCCTGGGTACGACAAGATTCATACTGACCTTCAGAAACTGCTCGGTGGTGCGGCCGACAGCCTGAATCTCTTTCACGGCTACCAAACGACCAAGGAGTTCACCTTTAGAAATCACTCCAGACCCACCACGGAGGCTGGTTGGCTCCAGGTTTTCGATTCGACGAAGCTGCAGGCTCTGAGGGAAATGGCCTGACCTCCTCGACAGTCGGATGATAGTATCCAAGAACCGACATTTGTACCATTCTTCTAACTGGTCTGACTTCATTACGAGTAACTACAAGCAAATAAGCAACGAAGGCGTCGAAAATGCGTCGGTCTTACCGTCTGCAGTAAGTCCAGCATGAACTGGGCATTATCGTCTTTGAGCGTAACTAGCTGAGAAGTAGCGTGTGAGTCGGTTGAACAACTAGCAATCAAAGCTCCAATGTCTTGAATGTCTAGCGCGTGTAGTCTGGACTGGCTGATAAGAGATCGGTTACAGATGTGCAACTTCACTTGAGCCTGAACGAGATGAGCTGAAACACACTCGATACATAACAAGGGAGGGCAAGCACTGACCTGGCTCATTAGTCCAGACAACGCGTCCTTGATGGCCTTGAAATTTACAAGACACCACATCTTGTCCCGTGATGTCCACTCTCTTCTCATATTCTCCAGGTCAATTAGCAGGCTACAGCAACGTTAGATTAAACAATAAAGACAGATCTTGCATGTACTTCGGCTTGTCGGGGGCACAAAGATTAAGGTGCGTAAACACATGCGCGTACAGAGTCTATCCGTAGATGCTATCAGACCCGCTGCTTAACTTCATAACGAAGGTCCCACTGACCGGAAAAATGGGCATGCACCGCACCCCTTTGATGCATACCTGTCTCGCTGCTGCATCCAAGCCCTCAAATTCATCCACCAAATCCTGGACCTGAAACCTCACTGAATTTCGGAGATGCTGTGTAGAGGTCTGGGGAGAGTCCGTTCGGTGGTTACGGGATAGCGCAATGTCGTCAATGGTCGTTGGTGCGGGAGGCCGAACAGGATTGTGCTGCTGCCAAACAGAAAACTGTGTAGTTGGAATCGTACTCAGTGAAAGATCGGATTCTGTGCTCAGTGTATTGCTCGATTCAGAAGGAATGCTTGTCAAGTTGACTTTGGGCGATGGAGAAGCTGGGGGTCGGTGCGGATCATCACGGTGGCCAAAGTTCCTGGCACGCAGCGCCCGGGAATCACTTATAAAAACGTGCTTCTCTCGAATATGATGGGGTAATTCCCATCTCGGCATAACTTTGTGACATTGAAGGCATTCCATCGAGCGTATTGGCGCGAATCGTGACACCGACATAATACAGAAGGAAAGGCTATCTTCGTTCTATATGGTCTGGTCACGAGAGACTTTGTCACTGAAGGAAGACGGAGAAATTTGATGGTCTAGTTTGAGCACTTTGGAGTGCTTTATATGACCGTGGAGCTGAGACCGCCTGAGCGTCAATTACTTACAACAATAAGTATAAGCACACAGATCGCACTGCAGTTTGAAAAATTGGAATGGACACGTGTCGCAGTTGCGTCGAAACTGAAGTGGCACAAGCTGAAGCGCAGACAATACAAGCAAGACAATAACATGTACAGGGACTAGTGTCGAAGAGCATATCTTCATTTGATCTTCATGCATATAACCGTCGGTTAAACCACTGAGCGGCAGTTTCCGAGTGGTCCGGAATTTACCGAGCCACATAAGTTCGCGTCCAAATTTTTTATTCTTACAACCTCGCCGATTCCTTATCACTCTTCCACTTCTACTCATGAGGAAGGGACATTATTCTTCGGCGTAGAAGGACTTCTACAGCTTCACTTTCGCTAGCAGCGCTATGCCTTTTGTTTTGTACATTTGGCGATGATGGTCTTCTAGATAGTGGTGAAAGCTACAAAAGTATCAAACTGAATGTATATATTACCCATTTCTATTGCACCTAATCTGACCCAAGTCTCGATGAGAAGATCACCGCTATTCGTTCGTTCAACTTCGTCGCGATCCTTATCATGTTAGCTGGACTCGTGGATCATGCTTTCGAGGATGATTGCCTGCCAGAAACTGAGCTCATTCGAATACCAAACATGGGAGCCAGAACATACGCCGTGACGGTAAATTTGAGCGATGTGAAGACGATGGTCAGCCTCACGACATTGCCAACAAGTTCGGACCATCCTCGCTCGTCGAGGATGACCATACCGTCATCGTCGTCGCCATGTTGTCGATAGAATCGACCATAAATCGTGACCTCGGGCTTGTATCGAAACTCAGATATCCACCAGTCTTCCTTCGTGGCAAATCTGGTAATGAACATGTCGACTGCTTTCTGCAATTGTTTCAGATCATGAAAAGGTCTGGACAAGGGGGCGCTTGCCCTGTAGCTCATAGCTTGCAACGCTGCTCTTCCAAACGCACGTTTGTCGTCTCTGCAAGTAACAATTATCTGCGGAGGGATTGCCATCGCAGTAGCAACAAATTCATGTAGCGTGTGTAAAGCAGAGACAACATCACTAGGCAAGGCTGTTTGAGCTTGGGAGGACTGATGAGTAGATTCCATCCGACTCATGGTAATATCCACAAACAAATAGAAAACGGCAGTATGGCGGCTTGGCTACAGGTTCACCACGCTGTGAATAAGATGCACATCCGAGTTATATAGCGCAGGAACGAGGCGTGAAGCGCCTGACCACCGTGAGTGACAAGTCATTTTTTTCCTTTCGAATTCGAATTTTTATATACGTGATTGTCATTTTTCCACTAGAATTTCTACGTGATATATGCATGATCAGTACTCAGTACTCGTACGAGTTTTAGGTTCAAGCTATCATATATCATGATATCATGATGTAGCTGAATAACATCATATAATGTATATTTAGAACCGGACCCTCTCCCGGACGAATTCGTCATGATTGTTCAAACACTGAATTCCGGTTCTGCTTGTTCTCTGCCTCCATAGGCCTTCCACTTGATTGTTGCGTTTACGGAAAGGGACTAGAAGGAGTCACGGCAACCGAATTCAAACGCTTTTCCTGTTCCAAGTCATAATTGTTTTCCGCTACTTTCTGTCAAAATTTTGTCGCTGTGTTTGAGGAGAGAACTGGACGTTCAAGTTGAAGGAGACACGGCCAACCTGGGATCCCTGGTACATGAGTCAGTGTTCAAGTTCATATATATTTACACATCAACAACAACATCGTTACCATTCAGCGCATACTCCAAGGAGTTTCCTCGAGACTTCCTCGGTAATCCGCGGCAACGGGCAGCGGCACAGGCAGAGCCGATCCTGGGTCACCATCGAGTCTGCCCTGGAATCTGGGGCACTCGCTCAGTCTTGCATAGAAGTCTCGTTGACACTCATTTTCAGCACGAAACATTCGGAACACACATCCGCCTGGTTGTCCCTGATGCGCGAGATTCGGATTCTGTCTACTTGTCATAGCGGGTGCAAGCGCTTCTGCTTAAACAGATTTTTCCCGCTTTCCCAAGCAACAGACTGAATTGAATTCATGTGGGGCGGCGAGTAGGCAGCCACACTGGAGATAGTGGGGTCGACGGTGACATGTTTAGATTGTTCTGACCCTGTATCGACTAACTTGAGTATAGACTTGGCAATTGTCTGAGCAGTCATCGCAGAAGGTCAGCGTAGCAGGCGAAGGCAGGCGAATGGTATGATACTTCCACCTGGCATTCTACCCTCTTCGCTGGAAGTGTCTCTTCAGGGAACAAAAGAGGAGTGTCGCGTGCAGCACGCGATCAACAAACCTTTGAAAAGTCTCATCGATGATTCAACAGATCAGATTCCCTCACCAAAGCCCTGTTGGCTGTTCAGATCTCTTTTGGATCAAGCCAGTATGTTTTTCATCTTCCCGAAGCACATATCTCACAGCATTCCAGATATATGGCCCCACACTATGCTGATATGACAAGGCTTCTATGTATATCCAGGGATTCACCATGGTAATGTCTTATTCTTACTTAGTTGTATGATGATCTCACTACGCTCTTGTGCCTACCATATACGCCATCGTCCAAGTATCCCCTTCCAAGGACGCACAGCATGGGTTGGAAGTGCTACTACAGAGCTGCTCAAAATTCGGAGTTCCTTCAAATGTACGTGTTCCATGTTTGCATGAGAATCAAATGGCAGTACAGGGGAAAACGCCAACCCGGCACTTCGCGAAGTTGTTATTGTGTTCTTCTACACCGGCCCTCGTCGAATCGAAAACAAGTTCCCTGGCCGTGCTTGGTCCTGGTTGCCGCCATGGTATTCATTTTACATCCCGACAAACTGGTTGTTTCATAGTATAATTGCGTCTTTGACAACCTTTCAAAGAATTGCAGCACTGAAAATTCGCCGCTAGGGGACCCAAGCTCGTCGAGCAACTCGAATCGTGGATTCAGGTCGAATGGAAGGGACCTGTATCTTCCTACGAGTCCACCACTAGGACTACTTCAACAAGGGCGGCGTTGTGCAACACTGATGGTCACAACGATGTCAATATCAAATACCTTCATTCTTACCTCCAGATTGAATGGATGGTTTCCTCACATTTTTTTCGTGCGCATCCGTCGTTCATATATAGTTCTTACATAAATATAATTCTCGAATCAGGAATATCATACTTCTAATACTTAGACTGCCGGTTAGATCAAGTCTTCGTGACTTTGTTTAGTAATCGGATCTTTTGGGGTTCTCGGTTTTTTATTCGGCGCATACTTGATGAGATGACGGTTGTACCAATGAAAGCTTGAGAATTGACGCGCACGGGCTGTATGTTTTTGACAAGCACACGCCACTGACAAGTACTAGCTATATACAAGTTGATCTGGTACATGTGAACGTGGCACGTTCTGTGGTACCGTTTCAGCTAATTTTACATAAGAACTCGGTGCAGAGAATTCGATTGGAAGGCTTGGCTTAGCCAATGTGGAGCTGCTTGGCGTGGTGCGCAGTTCTCTGTACATACTTGGATCCAATCGTACTTCTTTAAGTTATCCGCCATCTACTACTAGACTACCAGTACCATGGCCAAGGTCCATTCGCTGCTCTCCATCCGATCCTTGTCCACAAAAGTCCTTTTGCTTGGTGCTATCATCACCTTCTTGATCACACTCTACACATTCTCTTCTCCATATTCTTTTCGCATATCAAATTGGTCTTCAATATTTTCACAGGAACAACAGCGTAGTCCCTGCACTCCGGAACAGTGGTCAAGTGGGCGTTGGGTATATAGCCCGACGTCTGACTTGGTGAATTTAACGCGTCCAGAACAGGCACTTTCCTTAGCCGGTTTTGAAGGTTGTGCTGCAGACCGTGAATACCACTGGCATTTGGGCACAGACCACGAAGAACTATGGGACAGATTTCCTAAGGTCTCTTCATACAGGTGGTTGCCTTCGAGCGAGTGTGATGTCCACCCTCTCAATGGCGCAGCGATGGTCAAGGACATGGTAGCAAATGGCGGATGGCTTTTACTGGGCGGTACGTCGGCTCCGTTTTTTCGTGTTCGGCTCTCATGCATTAATTTACCTCACCTTTAGATTCGATAACAGAAAACCATTTCTTCTCGCTGTCGTGTCTCTTGTACCCGCATGTCCGCGCAACCCCGAATTACACTGAAAACCCTTACTTTGACCGTGCATGGCAGCAACATTTATACCTGTCGCCATCGTCACCCATAATATCCGAACTCATCATGCCGGAGGGCTTCTCCATCGAAAACACACCACTCGTTACATTCCGACGTGTTGACCTGCTTCTTAATGGAACAGAATTAGACATGATATATCACAGTCCAGCATTTTCTCTTGAACCCACCGGGTTGGACAGTCAAGATCCTGGTTCTCAATACACTAAGGCAGAGTCCGTATTCGGCGATGAGGCATTTTGGTCTCTTTCCCCGTCAGAATACATGGCCACTCTCCTTGACTCACCCCCGGATGCCAACTATGGCACGCTGGTTGTGAGTACTGCCGGACACTGGACAACAGGCACGTTGCGGGCATTTTACGACGAGGACGCTGGTGAAGATGCTGGCTATGGTATCCACAATGTATTGGCATTCTTCAAGGTTGCGATGCGGGCCTGGGCAGGTGAAGTACAGGACGCCATCACAGAATACCACAAAAACGGGGGCAAACGTCCAAAACAGGTAGTCGTTAGAGCGTATCTGCCTGGTCACGAGAACTGCCACAACATCTTCGAGCCCACGGAGACAATCACGCCATGGGTCAATAAGTGGTATAATTGGCCATGGATTCAGGACTTCAACACAGAATTCCAGGTCAGTATTTTGAGACACATACGAGGTGTAAGGATACTGACTCTTGATCCAAGGAACTGCTGTCATCATCCGAATTCCCAGACATTCACTATCTTCCGATCGAGAGACCAGGACGGCTGCGCCCTGATGCTGTAAGCTAATTTTAGTTTCACGCACTGTTCACATCTCATATTTAACTGTCCTACCAGCACGCCTCTGGAGATTGTTTGCATCTCATATCAGGTACTGGTGTCATCGAGGGATGGTCACACTACATCTGGCATTTTGTTACGCGCGAACTCAAACAGAAAGATATCTCTCACCACTAGACACTGATCTCGAAGTAGCTCGGGGCCCAGATACCATAGAGAGATACCCCTTTTCTAAGGAAAGAACACTCAGATCTGCATGTATATATGACACCAGGTCGCACGGACTATGCCTGTACCACCTCATACCACAGTGTTGGTTACAGATAAAGCATTTTGGATATCGATCAGGGTGTTTCCCTGGTCGTCCTGTTATCTACCTTCAAGTTTGATGATTCCGCGGGTTCAGCGTGTTTGGACGTGACCTGACACTGATCTCCCACAAGGCCAGTTACAGGATCTACTTCGGAGAAGCTTCACGTTCAGAGGCCGCCAGCGCAAGAACGTATCTTGAAGTGATTATCGTATATGCAAGAAGGCGAAGAATGTCATCTGCTCAACGGCCGGGAAGAGCTTGTGCTTTGTGGCTGTTTCGTGTACGTTTATATCGGTCCTCGATCCATATTGAAATATCAATTTCAGCGTACCAGGATCCATATCTCTGCGAGGATGTCAATTTCTCTCGGATGTTCCTAGGGATACCCCCTCAACACAACGTTGGTGCCTAGCTGCCATTGAGGATATGAAAACGGAGTCACGGCGTCTCTCATCATGGCAGTCACGTATAGAGATCAAACCAAGGAATAATCCCTTCGCCCTCTGTCCAGAAGACCATGCGTATGATCACTAAAGCCTTCGACCACCAGAGTCAAGTTCATGATCAGGAATAGTGCTGTTGCTGCAATCGCATACAACGGTAAGGCACCTCTTGAAGTTCTTTGCTGATCTTCGGCCGGATCTGACTCGGGGACGGGTAAACATGAATCTTCTTCTTTCTTGCCAAGTCCTTGCAACTGAAAACCCTAGATGTTTGTACGCGTTCCTACTGGAGGTACTGATCGTGTGCTGCGTATTGCTATCTAATCCGATGATGCTCGGACCAGAGCAGAACTGTGCGGACCCACCAGATCTAATATAACTTTCCACTATAGGAACTTTCGCTACGGGTTGAGGGTATCTGTCATGAAAACCCCGTTACGAGTACGAGCGCAAAGTGATGTACTATGCATGAACGTTTACCCTTTAAATTCCCGGCAATAGCGGGTTTCGCGGAGGTATCACCGTAAAAACCTCCTCTTTCGAATGATCTTTTGCAAATAAATGGTGTCGGAAAGTAAAGATACTACTACAAGCCTACTAGTACTGTTTTCAAACTTAAATCAAAGACAAATTCTGCCGCGGCGCCGGCGGTGTTCTCTAGGGAACCCTAGCTCGTATGTATTTATGGTACCGGGTCATACAAACCGCTCATCATCTATTGGAGGAAGGCTGGTATTGGATACAACGTAGTGACATATCCTTATTACATATCTTGGACTCGGAAATGTGGGGTACATCTTCCAATTGATCGTTCTGTTCCGCGACTCAGGATTGAGTCAACGTTTCAACTTTGATTGATTTGATTGTTTGGACAATGCACAGCTCCCTGGCAGGGCATGACCTGAGGCGCCGACGTCCCGTGAGTCTACACGGGCAACGTTCCCAAACTTCGCGCAGCTGACCAGAAGCCAATGGCAAAAAGGTACCCGTAAGAGATAATCGTCCATGGAAAAAAGCGAAGAGGTGTCACCTGTCCAACGGCCTCTCGAAAAGTATAGTGCTTCGGCTCCACTAGTTCGGCTGCCTTGACCTCCTTTCGGGAAATAACCATACGAAGCAGAAAAATTTGCAACAGATTCCGCAGCAATGATAACAGAACTACATTTGATTAGTTGCCGGGTCTTCAGAATTGCGCTGGTACAACGATAAGTACACCAAATGGCTACGAAAAATACAACCAAAGAGATGAACGAGTCCTTGTCTCAGTGCCAAAGACACGAAACAGCAAGATAGTATAAAAATATGTCAACGGACGAACGTGAAGGAGTCGTGACTGTTGAAGGGCGTGGCACGGGCCAAAGGACACCATGGAAATGGGTGAAGCGGGGGGCAGGCATGGTGCTACGAGTAGTAATGGATACAAAAACATTTATCAGCCTTGACAAACTTCATTTTTAGGGTACAGTTCCGCTGGCGTCTATTCGTCCTCGAGGATATCGAGGAACCGAGATTGATTAGTACATGCTCTGTGGTACCATGGGGGCCGAGTTCGCAAGCATGCTCTCCGTCGACATTTGTCGTTCATGCTGGTATATACGCGGGAGAGCCCGTGCCACGGCGCGCACCGACGATGGATAGAGCGACGTCAGGTCAGGGTTGCTGGAATATACATAACTCTCAACGGACGCATTTCTGCTATGTGAAATCGAACTGTACATCGGAGGGGCGGGTGAGTTTGAGTGGGTAGGTCCCTGGGTGATACAAGTTAGTGAGAATACAAACATGACAATCGAATTTCAGGACTTACCGGGGTATAGGAACTTTGTTGAATATGAGTTGTTGGTGCGGTTGTCATGGTCCGCGAATTAGATGGCGAATACCGACCTCCGGCTGCACTGTATTCCGGTGCTGCCGTTCTGGCCGATGAAGGGACCGACCCAGATGGCACAGGTGCTGTAACACCTTGGGGGTATTCTGGAGCCATCGGTGTCACTGAGTGTGTAGAGGAGGAATCAGGATCTCCGATTTGGATGACCCCTTCATAGATTCCTCGGTCAAGCTCGTCATCACTCGTCTGTTCATGCACCGGTGCGAGACCGCTCGTCCATCTTGGTCTCGTTTCAGCGCTTGGGCTGTTGACCGATCCATCCCCGTGCCCCACAGTACTATTCTCATCAGGACCCTCTACCACCCAGCGATCGCTTGGAACTTTTGGCTTGACCTCTCGAGGACCCACACCAAAAAGAGCCCACCAGCGCCATAATCGCCTTCCAGGTCGCTGAGACTTCTCATGTGTTGGTTTGCGCAAAGGTTCAAAATGATATTTGTGGGGTGGGAAAGAGAATTCGATGGAGTCTCTTAGTGGTGTTTCTGAATCGGTTGAATCCGATCGAGTATATGTCGAGTGGTATCTTCGTATGTGACGTGGGGTGGCCATGGACTCATCCAGCGTAACGGGGACGCTAGTATGCTGTACTCGACGACGATATTGAGGCGTGAAGACCTGTGAAATTCTCGAGACGGATGCATCTCGAACCCGGCGAAAATGATATTTGAAATGGTCCGACCATTTGTGCCATATGATGTATGCAGCAAAGATCAGAATGAGTGCAACGCCAACAATTATGGGGGCTGTTATCTGCATAGGACTCCAATTTGAGTCATCTGAGCTATCACTGCCGTTGGTAGCACGGGACTGTATTGGATATTTCAGCCTCGCAGCCAGAAATTGACAATAGACACCTACGGAGAGAACCTGATAAGTAGCAAGTAGTACAGCGTTCATAGGATAATGTTGTCAAAATGCTTCCGTTCACGAATCAACGAGTGCTTACCTGGTGCTGGAGCTGAGCTCGAGACGGAATGAAAACCATGACATCAAATATGACTCACAACCCACGAGTGAGAGAGAGAAAGACGGCAAGTTAGAGATCACGAGCGTCAAGTGATCCTACTGACCGCTGGCAAGTATATTTCTGGCCCACATTGCCACCGCTGGCCGGGCCCGGAATCAAATCATAATTCCGTGCCTGATACCTGTATGCATTACTAACCTCCTGCAACATAATCATTCATCACTCATCAAACTGAAAACGCTCCGGAAGCTAGATGTCTCGAGGTAGAAGTCACTCCCTAAACTACTCGATGTACTAGTACTATTGGGGATTCACAGCCTGACCGGCCCTGACCAAATGCTGTGATCTAAGCACAAGGTGTCCATGTCATCTATTAATATTGAGTTGTGTTCTACGTAAGTGTGACGGCGTACGCAGGCAAAAACGAAATCTACGTGAAAAGTTACTATGTAAGTCAGCGAAGTTCCGTTCAGTACGTACCGTAACCAGCATCAGTAGCGTAGTTAGCTGATGGAACTGAACTGGGACTGCGACGCGATCACGTGATCATTTTCTTTTTTCTCCAACTTGATCGGTCCTTCGCGACTGCGACTCGGACACGAGACAGCTCCGCCATACCAAGGGGTAAATAGTTGATCCCCTTGCCATGACCACTAATTTCCGATTTCACCAGCCAGGAAATAGCGGATGGTTTTGAGACTTTCTAGATCTAGTCAGGAATTTAAAAACTGAGCATCACCTGTCAAGAAATTGTGCGAAAAATCTGAATCTGTGAACCAAAATTGTTCCGTTCGTGCTGTACATGTTAGTGGGAGTCACAGGTACATCCGAGGCGCATTTGGCCTATACACATTGTAAGATTAATAAATTTGATGTGAAGTTAGGCTTATTGATGGCTTCGCGAGCAGCCTGCGGACATTTTGTCAATGTGATAAGATTTGAAGTGAGGCAAGGCGTACTACTCGCGCTCCAGCACTGAAAAAGGTCATCAGGCCGAGAAGACTAACTTGAAGGACTAGCAGAATTGACTCAACTAAACACTTCAATGGGATTCGTCCTTCGTAACGAGAGCCACTTGACTGCCAGTGCATAAGTAGGGCGAGGTGGGGCCATATCTGCTTCTGCAGGGGTAGTAGAGCTGCACAGAGTAGGACCCTAAATACATTGCGATCCATGTGCCAATCAATCTTTCGTGTCTGCCCTCCATTCCCTCAGGAGCCTCAAAGCGCATCTCGCAACGTTAAGATAGGTTCGTCCTGCTATGCCAATTTGAAAACTATTCAACAAATAAACCGGAAAAGAGGAAGTGAACTATACTAGTTGAATATCAGACAGAGTCATCAGAAGGCTGGCTACCATATGACCCTTGGCATGGAGGAGGTACGGGAAATTTTCGATGGGATATCTTGTAGAATGATTCATGATGAGTCTCACTCCAGAAGTTCACATGACTCACGACGCAGGGAGAGGTAGAAACGCAATCTAATACTACCTGATTTCAGCTAGGATAAAATAAAGAAGACGCACCAGTCAGAAATATGGACATTGCCCGTGTACACGTGAATAGGTTAACAACGCGGCGCCAGAGCAATAGACCACTCACCAGATGTGTAGAACAGATTTTGAAAACTTGTCAGTTCCAGATTTAATCAACCCCTATGTACTACTCACAAGTGAAAGGAACGACTGCATTGCCAGCTGCGATGCCACCGCCGGCCAGCGATGCAGGTCACCGACATTTTTGCGTGACTTCTGCACTTTCAGTTTCAACTATCTCGCTCGATTTCGCTTCCGTTGTGCTCGTTCAACCTCGTGAGTATTAGAGAGAGAATGATATTCATGATGAGTATTTTGTGAAAGTAGTGACCGACCTTTGTGGAGTGGGAAGTATATACCACCAACGACTCGGATAATGTACAAATTATAGATTTGAAGACACAAATGATTTCATGTAAAATGGTGGCCCATTTTCCAATGCTGTGCAGTGTGCACTGAAGCTAATCGCCCTCTTGATCGGAGAGGCATCAATAGTAATACCCGAGCAAAACAGTACAGAACGCTTTAATGCAGAGATTAGTATTTTCCGCAGTGGAAGCAGAGAGAAATGCTGTTACTTATGCTATCAAATACTCCCGGGGAATATAGCCGCATAGTTTGAACCCTAAAAACTGGAGCACCGTAATTAAGAACCATTACATGCAGAACTTGCTGTGGGCTACCGTCAGGTAATGCTTAGTGCATGAACTAATGTACTAGTACAGTCATGGTAAGTCGACTCCATTCATCTATGGTGCGTGCAGTCGAAGCGCCGAATTCCATCAGAATATCCACGAGGCGAATCACATCTAGAAATAATTTTTAGCTGGGACTTACGCACTCCAGATTTGACGATCAAGTCAATTGAATAATGCTCGATTGTGATGGCTGTTACTATGCTTCCTTATATGCACTTACGAACAACGACGCTCCAAAGCGAACTTAAGTAATTGCGCGATACTACCGTGGATGCCGCTTCGACAGAATCTACTTTTCAAACCCAGCTAGCTGCCTTGCAAGTTGCGTACTGAACTTTCCTATGCGAAAGCATGGCCCCCTCCCAGGTAGGTCATGTGTTTGGAGAGTCATAAGTATCTGGACAGAGGTTCTGCCTCTGAGAATCACGGTAGTCGAGTCACGATCGTTTGCGAAGGGTACCCGTGTCAAATGACCGCAGCCTCATTCCCTTATCGATATCAAGTTAAGTTGCCCCAGAATACTGCCAGATTACGTATGGAAAGGTGTTTGATCAATATCGGCCAGTATACGTACCCATAAGAACATCAACCGCTCGAACCCAACCACCTCCCTGTGAATTCTCTTGGAAAATGGAAGTAACTCGGCTATAGAGATGGACAGGTCTGGCCAGGTTCTCCTAACAAGCATAACCCTGAACTAAACCATAAATTCGGTCTGGGAATGGTTCTGTTCCAGTACAACCAGGACCTGAACCCAGAACCGAACAAATGACAATAATGATGATTGACGCACCCAAGAGCTAGATGCAGTGACCTTCAAGTTGAGAACATGGTAGACCAATAGTAGACGGAGGCAGACTCGACAACGCCAATTTCGAAAACGGCCATGCCAATCAATCTCGTCAACGCGCTCGCAACCGCCGTATAACATCCCGTTGTAATGCTGCATGTTCATGGTCCGGTGATATAGCGACGTTAGTCGGTTATTGGTGAATGCCCGAGTTTTGGCCAACCCAGACAAAACCCAAAGTATGCACATAATTGCACCCAGACCAGTCATTTCAGAGATGCCCTTGGTTATCGGGGGCAGCCATGGTGCTGACAGTGTGCGGCTGAAGTTGGATGATGTCATCCTTGAGGAGGCCAGCGCATCACAAGAATCGGCAGAGATCAATATATGACATAGCAGCGAGCTCACTGTGTTACTGCATAGCACCCAAAAGGCTCCCAACGTCCATAGAAGTAAATCCTTGGCGCTGTTGCAGACAGTGAGCAAGCGTGAGAAACAGTGGCGGACACAGTAACTTTCATACTCCGCTTGAAGGTGCCGATGGGCCTACTATGGCTGGAAAGCTGTGCTTGAAATGGTGAAGATATAGGCGGTCTCCGCGCTGCAGCAAGGCCGAAGAGACAAGAAAATAGAGGACATGTAAGAATTGGCCAGTCTATGTAAAGTCTGTGCAAACTCCGCGCCAGTCTGGGGGTGCCTGGCTGGAATGGTCAAAGGTCTGTCTGTTGACCTTCACCATCACGACGACCACCCCGCCGTCCTTGTCAGTCTACCGTCAAGGTACTAGCCACCACCATCGGAAAGGTTTGACAACACGCAGGTCCGTTAGCTGCGCTGTCGATTTGGCAGATGACGCGAAGGGTGGCGAGCAATTTGCAAGGCAGGGATGAAGATGATGGTGGTTGACAGTGGACAGAATGTTATTACTTTTGGCATGGTGAGAAAAATATCTCAGCGATAAGGAGTAGGGAATGACTCGCAATGCCAGTATATCTTGCCTACCGGACTCCAATGAACATCTGCACAAGGCAGTCTGGATCACAGTGGCAGCAATCATCGAACTTAGATAAATGATAAATGAGAAATGGTGACCCAGGTCATCAACCATGTAAGGTGCAAACAGGTAAGCACTCTTCTTGAAGGCATCGATGTTCTGAGGTAGTACTGCAGTTTGCCAGCCTCGGAGACCACCATTATAGGCTTAGTCGCATGGCAGCAAGAAATCTGAGTTTTGCCGGTACATGAGCACAGTTCGGCCAACATGAAAAAGTAGACACACCTTCCGGCCACTAGAATAATCTGACATTTGATTCCACTGCGTCAAAGACTGCAGACTGTCTGTTCCGTGTTTAGAATATCATTTTGAAAACCACAGTCACATACTCATCATAGCGCCTATAAGCTAAGTTAGGTTTGCAAATGACTCAAGGTATGCCATCATAACCATATGCAAAGGACATTATGAACTTGTAGGGGGTAAGCTAACAGAGTATAAGTCAGTTGTTTTGGAACTTGCATGATCCTGATCTGACACTGAGTCCTTCCGATTCCCTCATCGTGTCTCCGTGAGGAGCATGAGTGTTCCTGAACCATGCTCTCGAATAGAGAAGCCGAGTATAGGCGGGATTCCTTCAATGATGATGGAAGAACCAAAACAGTTGAGCGACGATGATACGAGATGATCAAAGGAATGACTTGATGAATAATTTTAAGTCCTAGAAACATTTGGGGCCTCGTGCTGGCGGTAAGTTTGTCTGCAGTTGATTAGAATTAATAATAAAAACGATCGGTCGATGGATCCTACCATGTTCAAGTCAAACCCAGAACTTCGGTAGGATCGTTTGGAAAAAAGACAGATGAAGTCATACATACTTTGCAACATAACAAACCGTAACAAAGTTGATACCAGTCCCATCAAGACGCAATACAACAGGAATAACCCCAAACTTTCGCATTCGTCGGTGTATCATGAAATC